ATCTACTTTTTATTTTATTTTATATTTTTTTATAACTAAATCTGTTGATATATTGTGATTTTAAGGTGTCTATTACCATCTGCCCGGGGACAACAGCTGAAAATTAGCCATGTCGGCTAAAGCTGCTCCATTTACTGTTTTTGTGACAGTTCATCGATGGGGACTGTCCACGACACTATAAATAAATAATCTAAACTATTAATTAAATTCAGTTACATGTCCCCCTCCGAAAAATGCTTCTTTTCCACATGTCCCGAAATAACTGATTCTCTACCAAGGTGCGTGGGGACATAAGTGGTCCAAACTGTATCAACACTAATATAAACAAAACACTTTGGACTGACCATCCATTTATGCTGATTTGTAATCACACATGACCCAGACGTTGGTTTCTTCTTGTTTCAGGAGTGTTTTACAGTAAATTGATGATTTTCTTCCAGAACCTTCCTGTCACTCGGATCCTGGACAACCTGATGGAGATGAAGTCAAACCCTGTGAGTTCCTGAGTATTCGTTCATGTTTTATTTAATATCCCAAAAACACGAGGGCCGATCTCGTGAAAGTTAGATTGTTATTTTATTGTTTACTAAAACAGTGTTTCAAGAATTTCACACTGAAGTAACAACACAGCTAAAGCACAACAAGGTGTATTTTCCCAACACCAGGTGTTAGTCCTTCTCTAAATACTGTCTTCCTATTGGTTCTTCCCTCTCAATATGTAAATCCTCAACAAACCAAATAATTGTTTAAAAAGTCAGGAGGAAATATCGCATTTGTAAGGGACTATTTTCGTGTGTGTGTGGCAAGGAGATTAATATATTTGTCACACACACACACACACACACACACACACACACACACACACACACACACACACACACACACACACACACACACACACACACACACACACACACACACACACACACACACACACACACACACACACACACAGTTAAGCAGTTAAATGTGAACCCTTCTGAGTTTACTGTAAGACACACAGATCGATGATGATGAATGAGGGAATTCTTTTTATTCAAGCTCATGTAGTCATCTGACCCAACACACACACACACACACACACACACACACACACACACACACACACACACACACACACACACACACACACACACACTGCAGGTTTCTCAGCGTCTGCAGTTTCAGACGACTAACAAAGATCCCGTTGTTGTGAATCTGTCGGGGGAAAGAGGAGGAGGAGGAGGAGGATGAGACAGGAATGGGATGAAGATGAAAGAAATAGAAGACCACATTCTCCCTCTATCAGATTTGTGTGTGTGTGTGTGTGTGTGTGTGTGTGTGTGTGTGTGTGTGTGTGTGTGTGTGTGTGTGTGTGTGTGTGTGTGTGTGTGTGTGTGTGTGTGTGTGTGTGGTGTCAATGTTTAAATCCAAGAAGAGAGAAACACCTAAACATTTAGCGTCGTTAGCTTAGCATAAATAGTGCAAAGCTAGCCTGGCTCGTTCCCAAACATCTCACAGCTATATATTACATATCTTGAATTTGATTATTTGTTTTCTACCTTTTTATAATTATTTATTCACATATAATCCCCGTGTGTCTCCAGACGTCTTCTCATCATGTCAAATAAACCTCAGTTAGGTGAAGCTGCAGGTCGGAGGTTAATCTCTCCGCAGGAGCTGCTGCCCATAACTCTGACCCAGTGTAACTGTAAAAAGGTCAAAGGGTACTTTTCTCCAGCTTAGGACAAACATAGTTGAAACCGGTCCAGCTCTGAGGGCTGCAGTGTAATCGCTCGGGGCTCCATTCTGCACCGTCAGTATTCACAAGGGTTTATTTTGGCTTCTGACCGGTTGAGATGGAAGTAATACGCTTCTGAGTGAGACGTATTAGGAACCATAAAAGAGACAGACCGGATCAGAGGTGAAATTTAATCAACAATCGTTTTTCTTTCTCTGTGTGATCCTGCTTACACTGCTGCCACACTCTTTTTAAAACAATATTAGCCTGAGATGGAACATTTAGCAAATTAGACGCATCGGAAATTCAGTTGTTTGATAAAAAGATACAGAAGTTAGTGTTTATTTGACGTGTGTATGAATGCTGCGTGTCTTCGTTGCATGTGGTCTATTCTGAATGTTTTGATGGCACCTTCGAAGGAGTAGCTTTGCTCTTCTCGTTGTTCTTGTATAATGACAATAAATGCTTCTAATCTCATTTACGTTAAAATATGACTCTTGCAGCAACTGGCTTTGGACCTATAAAATATTAGAAGCAGGGGTGCACATAACTTTCTCAGTGAGGTACTCAGATGAGTACCTGGAGTAAGTGTTTGGTACTACAACTTCTGGCTCCCCTCAAAGTTATTTGATGAAGCCCTCTGTATCGCGAACGTCAACGGGGGGGCTAGTAGTACTTCGTGAACGCTGTGATCAGCTGTTTTAGCTCAGTACTCCAGTGAGGGGGGGGGGGGAGTCTCCCTCCGCAGCAGGTTGGCTAGACCGACGGCAGCAGCCCTGTCTGTGCACACGGAGATCAATGATCGTCCGGTGATCTAACTGCCTTCTGGAAAAGCTTCACAAGTACGTCGGTACGCAAATGCGCTTTGTGACGTACCAGTTATGTGCGCCCCTGATTATAAGAGCCTCTGTACTCATAAATCATTTTTCTGAGCACCAGCATCTTAATCTCAAATTCAAATGAGGACTGAAAAAGCGCTGCATCTCGCACTTTAGAAAAGTTAAAATACATAAAACTTAAAAGGCTCCAAATTCGCACAGAACGGATCATGACGCTTCAAGTTAAACATTTTTCCACTTTTCTGATCAGGGACGGTGACCACAGTGTAGAAATTGGAGGAGAATCTGTATTTTTGTGTTTCATAACAAAGTCATAAAAGCTCATTTCTTTGATCAGACCCTGAGCGTTGTAATGATATCCCTGTTAGCGGGTGCTCCGCCTCCCTGGTTTAACGGCTGTCAGACTGAGCGGTGAAGTTCACTCATACAAAGTGTGAGAGCTTGAGTCCTCTGGTGGGTGTTCACAATGTCAAACAAATATTTAGTAGCACAAACAGATAATAAAATGCAAGGGTGCAAAGCTAGTCGTTGTTGAGATATCATTGTTATAGAAACAATAAGAAAAGTGTTATTTTGTTGTTGATGAAATGCTCAGAGGGGGGTCGCCCCGGCGCCTTTCAGCCAGAAGATACACTACGTAGAAACACGGCCTTTAGATTCACAAGAAACTGACTGACGTTTGTCTCCTACAGGAAACAGACGACTATCGATACTTCGACCCAAAGATGCTACGAGGCAGCGAGAGGTACCACTCTGACATGTATCTCCAATCACTGCTGATCAGTTCTTTCACTTAAAGTGCTCAGAAATATCTCTCCATCATCTTCTCCCCTCCCCTCTTCTCTTTCAGCTCTATTCCCAGGAACAAGAACCCGTTTCAGGAGGTAAGCACAGTTTCTGTTTCTGGACTACAGTTTGATTCATGAGTCCGAGTTAGTGCCAGGACAAACGAGAGTTGAAAAGGAAATCGAAGACGGACTGGAAATGATGCAGAACCTCAGAAATCTGTCTCTTTAATCCCCCTCTAACTCATGAAATCAGACTCAGAGTACATCCTCACAAAGAATCAATTCCTCTCCTGGCTTTAAACCACTAAAAACTCATCTTTGTTCATCACATGGATATATTTAGATTTCTTTACCATTACCACATCCATTTAAGCCTTTGATGTAACTCTCCACCTCCACCCTATTGCGTAAGCTCAAAGAAATAACCAAATAACTGACAGAAGCTCACCAGGTGACGAACATGTTGGCACGTACCCGCAGTGTCCCGGGATAACTTTCAAAGCGCTGTTTGTTTTGGTCATTAGTGGCGAAAGCTTTCTGCTTTTTTGGTAACGATTTCCAAACAGTGCTCTGGAAAATGTCTCCTGCAAACCCCAATTGTCTCTTGAAGTTTGGTGGCGATCTTACAATTTCTCTTTTCATCCAAAACTCCCTTCCCAAGTCCCAGACTACGTGGCAAACTCTGGTGAACCGAACATGTAGCTTATCAAAAAACCCTCCATAACACAATGGTCGATTAGAGCAGGGGCTCCCAAACTTTTCAGCCCGCGACCCCCAAAATAACAGTGCCAGAGACTGGCGACCCCCTGTCGACGGTGGGGGGGGGTAGTGAAATAATTTCAGAAAAAATAAAGAAAAGTTTTGAGAACACTGCGATAGTGGATTGTCAAAGAAAAAAATGTCTATGCAAACGTTTATTATTATTAATAATAAAATAAATTAATCAATTTTTTTTTATAATTTTTTTTTTTTTTAATTATTGTAATCATCTCGCGACCCCCCGGGGGTTTAGAGGGAATCTTTAATAAGGCAGAAGACAGCCAAAACTTTTTAACTCTTTAGCAGAAGTGACCATTTTCATGATAGTGTGTTGGGAGCTATATATATCTCTTTATATTATTTTAACAGTTTAACATTTATTTTCTTGCTGTTATTATTATTATCCATTTATTTTATAATGTATTCTTAGTTAGCGTCATAAGTTAAACTAGTCTCCTATGCTTTTTATTTTGAAGGCATGTTCTGGGCAACTGGGTGATTAGAGCACCCTGGTGTAATTGTATATATTGGGAGAAGGGACACGTTGGAGGTGGGAGCCAGAGAAGGCAAAACGTAGACAAACGGTTTTTAACCAGAGTGTTTCAAGCCAAGCAAAAAGGAAAGCCATAGGAAAGGCTTAAGGAAAAGGGTCAAGGAAACTCGTTCGACTTTGTTATCGGAAATAAACTGCACACATGGAGAATCTTGTCTGGACCTGGATCATTCCCATGCGTAGATACCGCTAACTAGTGCCTCAGCGGCTGTATTTTTTAAAGTTAATTATCTTTTTTATTTCTATATGATTTGGCCGCTATAAAATGTTTCTGTATTTATCAGCCATGAGAAACATTGTATACGTCTTCCTGCCACACAGAAGCAGACTAACCCTGATGC